TTACATTAACATTGATTTTATATATACTATTTGAGGTTTAAAAACAGATAATTCTATGAGTATTTTGGTATTGAAAACTAATATTTAATTATTAATTTAACTTTTAAATAAATAATTTGGTCAAGAGAGGTATTTGATTTGCTTTCAAAAAGTTCAATCTTGATTCTTAAATACACTCTCTACTTTGAAACACTTTTGAATCAAAGATATTAAACATCTTCGCCTACATTAATAGTTAAAATTGATTATTAGTTTTTATAGCAAAAAGTTAAAGCATATGATACAATTTAGAAAATTTGATTTTAAAAAAAACTATTTTTACATTTTTAAATCTTTACTAAATGAAATCAAATTAAAGATGATATCAGATTTTAATTTAAAAAAGTTTTGCTTATTAAAATGTGAAGTTATTGTAAATTTCTTTAGGAAAGTAAATATTTAGAAAAAAAAATCTATGGATTATAATTTTAATATGTGAATAATTAAATGTTACTTCTATAATATAACATAACACGATTGAATGCATGAATACTATCAAGGTTCATGTTACAAAATAAACTTTATGAAGAAAGTATGATATTATTATGTAACAATCATAATTAACGTTGAATTATGTGATTCTTTTAATAAATAGAATTCACACGCATTTATGCATATATCAAATTAATATATTAATGTGACTTATTAATTAAATACTGTTTTATTCATTTATTTTTTTACGACCATGTTGCACAAAATGTCAAAATTACGTTACACTCCAGCACATGTTTACAAACGATTTATGAAAAACATTTCAATAAATTTTCGTTCAAGATTTTCTTAAACGTTTTCAGAATAGTTTTTAAAACATACAAATATACAGTTCCTATTATTGCCATTGAAATATTTTTAAAGTGTTTCGGATGTGTTTGATTCATTTCTGAAATATCCTTAAAAATTTTTAAAAAACTTATTTATATTGACAATAAAAAAAAATTTCAATCAAATATTTTAAAACATTTAATTCTCAATTGAAATATAAGTTTCAAAAGATTATACTGCAATAATATTTCCCAAACAACGTGTCCTTCTCACTATTGGAAGAAATTTAAATGAGTAAAAATTTACAAGTGCTATTTTTCTTACAACACTATTTCGGATTAGTTTTGTTTATTAGTTTATTAGAAAATTTCGTCATTTTATAAAACTGAAGAACGAAAACGTAATATTGTGGTCTTCTGTACGGCACGAAAGTATAAAGCTAAATTAAGTTATAACTAAAAATAAAATATACTTTAAATGTAACGCTAGTTTTCAAACGAAAATTGATAACTTATAGTTAGCTTATAAATAATATTTTAGTTGAAATGCTCTTAGTTCTCATGGATTTATTAAGTTAACTTAAAAATTATATGATATGAGCGATATATTTGATCTTGTATCAAAACTCCAAAATAATAATGGAATGGTTCGTTTAATTTTAAAAACAAATTTTTTTTAGGATTTTAATTACAGGCTCAAATAAACATTTAATTTTCTAAATCGTGTTCATGATCAAAACTGCGTAATTTAGATAGATTTGTACTGAACAATGTCTTCTTTTTCAGAATTTGCAGTATTATTTTTCTTTACTTTTAAATGAAACAGCAAAGAAAAATTTCAATCATAACATTTTATGTACTGATCTAGTTACGAATAAAAATTAAAAAAAGAGTTATGTTATGAATTTGTAGAGTTTTTAAAGAATATCGTTGGGATTTTTTCTTTTTTTAAAAAAAAATCGTATTGATGGTCATTGAGAACTAAAAGGTATTTATGCATATAACAGTATTACTTAAATGCTTTTAGAATTTTTCGCAGCATTAAGATTTATTAATTAACATCACAAGCAAACTTTAGCCTTAAATCTTTTCTAGTTCGAAATCTTTAAGTGTTTTTTAGTAAATGGTATACTAGTTACATGTAGTCATTATATAACTTCCATTTTATTGTATATTGATTAATGTATAAATGAATATATTCGAGGTAAAATAGTTCTTATAACCAGATTTTTTTTTAACAAACCATACAGTATTTTTTCTAAAAATAGTATTGATTGAAAAGTTTATATTGGAATAAATTGGTAAAAGTATAATCACGTTATTTATAGAAGCATTAAGTTTTCGATGATATAATGAAATTGAAAGGCCTCGTTTCTGTAAGACAAAAGTAATTTTTGACTTCATAAACATATTTTTATAAAATTAGTTAATTAAATTACATGTTATTGATTTTACTTTCTTTTTATAAATTTTAACAATTCTAACAAGTTTATAATAAGACCTGCCATTAACATCTCTCTTTTCCAAAAAAGGGGGGAAATTGAAGATTTTGTAATACATTGGCGAAAGCTATATAGCGTTAAAACAAGAGAAACACAAAAGGTCTCGTTTCTCTGAGAAAAAAATTATTATGAGGAATCTAAACAGATTTCTAAATTTAAGTTTGTAAATTTAAAAAAAATGTTACTTTTTTAATATTTATTGTAATACCTAACAAATATGTATTTCAAAAGATATTTCATCCTGAACATCAATTGTCTGATGAAATATGTCAGAATCTGACAAAATAACAGTGCCTATACATAATATATTAAATATAATATTATTTGAAACCGGGGTATATTGTATTTAAATACAACTACAGATTTGATTTTTTTATATTACGAAATGTTGCCGCCTTTTTTGCATATGCAAAATTTAAAATGAAGTGCGATTGCTAATAATTTAAAAAAAATTTATGCTCTGCTAGAAAATGATCATAAATATTATGTATAAAATATTGGGCATGCTGAACAAGTCTTATATCTGTGACTATAAAGAAAATTTTCTCTTTAGTCTTAGTTATTATTTTTTATACATGTTTTTCCTCTTTAAAACATTACAGAGAAGCAGCAAGTTAATAATTGTCCTGGTCATTGAAATTACGTAATTTGCTTTCTTCAAATCAGTGGAATTTCATTTCACGGATAATGTAGAAAAAATCATTTAATTGTTAATATTATTTATTTTTCTTTAAAGAAATATATTTTTAATTAAAATTTGACAACATTTTTTATAGGAAACTAAAGGGAAAAAAGCAGGATTGTATTGAGATTTACTAAATTGTTATTTTTATTCAAACTAGAAGTTTTTTCAAATATGGTATTTTAAATTCAAGTATTGCTTGAAAAAGAATGTTTTTTCACCATAAATATTTTTGTTCATTATATTTTCTTTTCTTTTACTCTATATTTTTCAACAAAGCTTGAAAACCATATAACTAACAACTTATTTTAAATCAAAATGTATTAAAACTTCACTGTAAACTTATTTCAAACGACTTCAATTACTATTATTCTATAAATTTTAATAAAAAGAAATGATACTTTTTTTAATGAAATTTTTTAAAAGATGAGAAGTTATAATTATACTTATTCTGATTTTAGATATTTTCTATTGTAATGGTGGTAATTTTTAAAGAATATTATCTGATGAATGTCATCATTCTTTAAAAACACGTCAACATTGCTATATATTTTTGGAATCATTAAGTTATTTAACACGAAATTATTTTTAAGCAGAATTTATAATGAATGTCAAAATAGTGATGATGATGATGAGTAGTTTATATAATGAATGTCAGAATTTATTTACAAGATTTTAGTAAAATCTAGTAAATTTATTTAAACAAAATTTTATAAATTCGAAACAGTCATTCAATATAATTTCATTATTTATTTTTTTTATGTAATATAAAAATGTATAACGAGATAGATAGTTTGAGTTCCTATTATAATTTATATTTCTAAATGCATTAACCATAAAAATGAATAGGGATCAAGTAATTATGTATGCACATTTTAATAAACTGCACAATGTTATAAATTGCTAATTCCAACAATTTAACTATAAAAGTACTTACTTGTTCAAAAAGTATTCAGTATTTAAACCGTTAAATATTGAAGTTCTATTTATCATCAAGATTTAAACAGAATGAACTGATAATTCAAAGAAAGATGCAAAATACATTGGAAATCATTTTTGTTTATTTTTAGAACTAAATTACGTGCATTATATAGAAAAAAGTTTTAAAATGTTTAATTCACGATATTAAAAAAATAACTGTCTTAATTAATTCACCAGGATATAGTAAAATAAAACTCATCATTATTTGCTATATTTTTTTACCTTTAAAAGTGATACATAAGGGAATCATATTCCAAACATAATTATATTTTAAATTTCTTCAAGAAACATTCATTTGATTTACGTGTATCAAATATGAAAACAATTTCACAATTCATAAGCATTGATGTAACATAAGGATAGTATCATTCATTTCGGTACTAAGTACTTGATATAATTCATGATTTACTACGCATTTTAGAACACACTTTTAAGATTCAAAATTGCTATAAAGCATATACAAAGTTTTAATTAAATTTAGGAAAAATTTCTAAAACGAAATGTTTACCAATTTCCTCTAAAAAAAATTTAACCATATGTATCCAAAATGTGTAAAATTAATAATTAGTTTGAAATACAATTTTAAAATTAAAGAAGAACGCAAATGTTTTTTAAAATATAATGCTTGTTACATATTTTAGAACCTGAAATACATTTTTGACATTTTTTGTGTACCTCTATTTTTAAATTATAATGCTTATAAACGTTACAAAGGGTTACGTTATAAAGGGCTGTATAAAAACCCTATAAGGTTAGTTTTTTGTGTGTCTCCCTAGAGAACATTTCCAAGTTACAGTTTAAACTCGCAACTGTCATAAGAAAGTTTGAAATCATTAAAATGTTTAATAGCTCTTTCAAGAATTAAGACAAGCATGCAATATATAAGATTAAATATTTTTGCTTCATCAGGCATACAAATCAAACAAGAGCTAATATAATCAACGAAAGACCCAATAATTCAAGAAAAACATGATTCGATCTCGCTGGAACAAAAACATTACCCATCATTTAATAGAAAATATAGAAATAACTTACATCTAAGTATATTAATGAACAATCCATGGTCATTTACCATAGCAACGAACTCACTGATGTAAATATTGAATATTTTTCGATGAAACTCAACATTCCCACCGACTGTGAAGAGAATATTAGGATCATCATTTGTGAAAAATGTGCGTCGTTCGTCCTTGAAATATCAATCATTGTTAAAAATGCTGACTTCTATAGCCACTGAGTCTGCCATACAGGGTACCAACCAATGGCTTGAGAACCATCCCACGCAAGGGGGTTAATGGACACTTTGGTTAGTCCAGGACCAAGGGGGGCTCAATAGAAAGGGACAACCATTTTACATTTCTGACATAAATTTATGTTTTGGCTAAATATAGTGTACCTATATGGATAATCTTAATACTTTTCATGATTAATGTCTTGTTTATCACTTTTTTTAAAAAAAAATAAAATACAAAAATCACAAAATTAGTGTTTATCATTTGAGCTATATTCCATATATTTTTTTTCTATTTTTTAATTTAATTGTTTTTAAATTTATAATAGATTAAATAATTTATAGAAATATTAATTTATTGTAATAAATGCATGCACAATATAGATATAACTTTAAAATCATTATCTTTGATATTGTTACTAGTTTTTCATTTTTCCTTATTATTTTCAGCTGTTAAATTAATGCAAACATTCAAACTTTATCAAATGTAGATTTTTTATTGAAAGTTAAATACCTATTAAAAATGTTGAATATTTGCTTTTAAAATAATAGACTTTGATAAGTATCTTATACAAGTGAAAATTAATTTAAAGTACCCCAATTATTCATGTATGCAAATTAGACTTATTAAATTACTTACAGTTAATGAAGTGTTATAATAAGCTTAAATAACAACTTAGAGAACTAGCTATTTGAAATTTAGCGAAATAGCTAACACAATTTTAAAAAGCCCTAATACAAATAATAAAAATAATTATATGCAGGAAAAAATATTGCGATTAAACCTCCATTTTGAAAGACGTATAAATCGAATATGTAGTTTGTATTGTGAAATAGTGTGTAAAAGAGGTGACATCCTTTAATGATATATTCTCTAAAACGCACAAATTATTTGAAATTGCTATCGTAAACTACTTATGTAAGGAAAGAATTTATGCAATGCTAGCATAATTTATTAACTTATCACTTTACGAATGATTAGCTCAAATTCATATATGCATTATCAGCTAAATATTAAAAGAAAAACAACCTTACTTTTTAATAATGCATAAAAAAACTGATGATATTAAACATTGTGAATAGCATACAGATAATAATAAAATCAGGCAGATTATTTTAAAGTGTTATTTTATGGAAAATATTGGAAATACCTTATTTAATTTTATAATTAGCTTTTTAAATGGGTTTTCTCAATTTAATTTAGATAATATCACATAATACTTCAAAAATCTGAAAAATTACATTACATAAAAAATTAAGTAAGTATCTTTTCAGATCATATACAAGGAAAAAAAATTAAATAAGGATAAATGCTGTTCCCAATTAGTGTCGTAACCTAAATTATTCAAGTTGCAAAGGTAACTTTATTATATTTAGGATATCTATAGTACGTAAAATGTTAAAAACAATGTTGAATAATTCATTTGCTGAAACAAATCATTTAATCTTTTGTTTTTTAAGGGAGAAATTTTTGAGAAACATTATGTTTTGATAAGATACATAAAAAGAAACGAATTCCTCTAAAAATAAAAAGGGAGGGATAAGATAAGTTAAGACTTCGTTCAACCTTACTGATAAAGTTACTCTAATATTTATTTCAGTTTTGTGACAGATTCTTGACGGAATAATTTGTGATTTTTATCTTACATTTTATTTTCTAATGAAAAGAAAAAACTAACATTTTTGTGGAATTTCTGCTTGTTCACAATTTATGTCCTCTATTTGTGCCTCAATTTATGTAAATGCATGAAACTCATTATACCATCACATTTTAAGAGCAGTTATTTGAAGATGTAGCGGTTATTAAATCAATCCTTCATTTTAAAATCGTCAAGTATTAAAATATAAGTTTGAATGCAATTCCTAATTGGATGAGCGATATGCAAAAATATTGCATTATTAATAATGCGTTATTTTTGGTAATATTAAACCCCATTGTGAAATGTTTTTCAATTTAAAAAGCTTTTATGTATGGTATTAAGTAACCGTTACAAAATTATTTACTAAAATATAATATTAATGTAAAACGTAGCAATTATTGCTGAAATTTTGCTGAAAAGATGTACTTATGTAATTATAATTAACAATGAAATTATAAGGTTATAAATAAATGGAATATTCATGAGATTATAATAGAATGTTTAAACAAATTCAAACATAAATTTAAATGCAGTCATAAATAGTTGAATCTTGTAACATTTATATATAGATTAAGTTGTACCCATTTTTATGAAAATAGCATTATGTAGATACGAAATCAAATTAAAAATCATTAAAAAAAACTTAAAAATTACTGAAATGGTTTTTTTTTATTTGAAAAAGTTTTGTGTCATAAATTTTAGAGAGGAATGTAAAATTTCGAATTCTATAAAAGTGTAAAGCTCTTTAATTTTACATGAAAAAAAGTAAATTTATAATAGAATTTATTAAACTATTGAATGTTAATTAATAGATAAATTATTATCAAAACTCAATATATTTCTACTTTAAGAAATATTTTCCAGTTGGATTTGAAAATATAAATAGGTTGCATTATTAGTTTAACTCTTGATATTCTCTGCTATTTAAAACTTTTTTCAGAAATAAATAATGTCTATAACATTTAGCATAATCTCTATAACATATTAGGAAGCCCAAAGATTAAAATAAGCATACACCATAGCAAAATATATCTAAATGTATTTATATGCTGTATTATACTGTAGCATGATATATTATTTTGTAATTTGAGTACAAAATAAATGAAAAAAGAACATTTTACTGTTAATACTTGTCTGTACGAGTTAAATAATATGCTAGAGCAATATTACAAAACATTATTATTAAATGTTTTTTTAAGTCATTATCACAAAATATAACACAGTTACTAAAATGTATCATTTAGGTAATAATTCCAATAATAAAGAAAAAAAAAGTATCACCCAAACTTGTGAAGAAAATTCATTTATGTCTTTCAGAAAATTCCCTGTTTCTAAAGCGAATTTGATGCCTTTGAATAATAAGCCAAAAGAAACTTCTTTGTTGAGAAACAGCTGTAAAAGAAAAATAAAAGTTTAAATCTTAAGATTTATTTAGAAAAACTAAAGCCTTTAACATGTCAAAACTAATGCAAGATTTATTTAGTTAATTAAAACATTTCTAAAATAGTTTTTAAAGTATCTTAAAATTTTTATCATTTAGAATTTCGCTATCTTTAATTCTGAATAATTTAATCAAAAATTTTATAAATTCACAGATGAAGATAAAATTATGTTTATTTTATATCAAGATTATCAAACATTATTCATTATTCTAGGCGTGAAAAAGAGCACCAGAAAAAACGAACACCCGGAGAAAAAGCGCTAAAAAGAAAGGACTTAAAAATCATTTCTTAGAATATATCATTACTAAATTAGATTTATTAGACTAATTTTATATAACTAATTTATTATTTGACTAATTTAAAGTATGGAACTTTTTGTAATCTTTTTCCCTGCCTTCTTAAATAATTTCAGTTGAAGCTTTTAAAATGGAAAATTTACTAGAAACAAATGTTTTAACACGTTTTAATAACAAATATTCAAAATAATTGGAATTATATGTCTTTTATTGCATTTTTTTAAAATGGAGATTTCCGAAATGCTATCATTACTTCTCAGCTGACACTTAATATTAATTTGTAAAGTACAGTTTATAAAATAAAAATCAAATTCAACTAAATTTATAAAAAAAAAGATTTTTTCCCTTATATATATAAATATAAAATACTCTTGTTATTGGAGCAATTTGTTTTTTGCTCAGTTGGAATTAAGTTTATTAGGTAAATGTAAATTAATACACTTATTAGAATTAACCTCAATTAAAAACACCACTTAAACTTAACATCACTTAAAATTAAAAATGTTAAGATTATGTAATGTGCTGTTAGACTGCAAATTTAGGTTTTAATTGTTTTCATTTTTATTATACTTGTTCCTTTTAAAATCAACAATTGTTTAAAAAATCAATTTCATTGCTTCTTGACACTTACTTCTTTACTTACTTTAGATCAAAAATTTAAAGCATATGTGTTTATCATCGTAAAGCCATATGATGACCATTAATCGATCACAATTTTTTTAATAATTCTTCTCATTCAAACTCAACGATTCTATTTCTTGTGGTTTATCATGCACTCTTTTCTGGAGCTTTTCCGGCGTTTTTTTAAGAGCTTTTCTTCCTTGATTCGCTCCTTTTTTCTAACCTCTAGTTGTCCAAAATATTTCGTATAATAATTAGCTTTGTTACGTTATTAGTCATTTTACTTTAGCTATCCTATAAATATTATTTTATTTTAACCTCATTAATTTATATTATATACGAATATTGCAATTTCAGTACAGTTCATATTTGACAAGATCAGTTAATAATTTTAGATTATTTATTCAATTCTGCAATAATTAAATATTGATGCATCTGCGCATGGATCATGCATATGACACTTATAAAATCAAATTAAACAATACGTTTATCAAGTTAAATTAGATTTATAAGAATTAGAATCACAAGTTCTGTAAAGGAATGAAATTCTTAAGAAGACTAAAATTCATTGGAATGATGTGGTTAAATTAAAAGGAAAAAATTATGTAATTGTATGTCCTTACTCGTGTAATCTGAATAAGATTTTCAACTATTACTATGCAGTTTAAAATATTTCTAAGTAATATTTCTACTTTAGTATTCTTTTATTTATTTTAAATTTTGATACACGAAGTGTAAGTTGCAAAATATTTTAAAATAAAGAAATTTAAAAATAAACCAAAAAAAATTGAAATAGAAGTNAGGGTGAACTCGATGTTTAGGTAAATGTAAATTAATACACTTATTAGAATTAACCTCAATTAAACTTATCACTACTTAAACTTAACATCACTTAAAATTAAAAATTTTAAAATTATGTAATGTGCTGTTAGACTGTAAATTTAGGTTTAAATTGTTTTCATTTTTATTATACTTGGTATTTCTAAAAGCAACAATAGATTAAAAAATCCTTTTTATTATTTCTTCACACTTACCTCCTTACTTACTTTAGATCAAAAACTTAAAACATACGCGTTTATCGTCGTAAAGTCATATCATGACCATTAATCGATCATAATTTTTTTAATAATTCTCCTCATTCAAACTCAATGATTCTATTTTTTGTGGTTTATCATGCACTCTATTCTGGAGCTTTTCCGGCATTTTTTTTCAAGAGCTTTTCTTCCTTGATTCGCTCC